ACTGCATGTTCCTGGACCCTCTCCCTCAGGGTACAGACTGGTCCTGCTCCCGGGTTTATAAGAAGACCCCTGAAATGCCATCCCCTGGGCTGGAGTATGGCGGCTGCTTCGAGTTGGGGCCAGGAGGTGTTCTGATTATGGTCCCTGGGGGTCCCCCGGGAGCCTGGGCATGGAGCCCCAGCCAGCTCTCAGACCCGTCTCTGATAGGCCAGGCAGCCAAAAATAGTTGCTTTGCTAGGTTTCTAACAGGAAATCTATTTCAGGCCTGGGAGAAAGAGTTCTTGACCTCCCCTCTCGGACAGAGGCGCTCCCATGACCTCATGCAGAGGGGCAGGAGCATCCAGCAACCCGAGAGCCTCCACACAACCCTCACGCCCGAGGCCTGCTTCTCAGGGAGGGCCCAGCTCGCGCAGGGGCTGGATGCGGGCGGCGCCTCTGTTTGCATCATGAGTACAACCCAAGTGGAGAAACCCTTACACACTGCACTTGACAGGGAGAAGCGGGGACCCTCCATGTCCTGCCCCACCCCCTCCTCAGCATCCGTGGCAGACAGTGTGCTGGCAACGTCTCTCAGAGATATTTAACGCGAGACAAGCACACACACGCGGGCCCTTTTTCTTATACTTGTAGAATCGTACTTCTACAACTTGATCTTTAAAACGGCTTTATTGAAATAGAGTTCACATATATAAAATTCTCCGGTTTGAAGTGTACAATTCAGCGACTTTAGTATATTCGGAGTTGTGCAACCATCGCCATAACCAATTGTAAAATATTTTCTGTACTCCAAAAAGATACCTGCAGTCCTTAGCCGTCACCGCCAATCCCTCTATGCTCCCGGCCCTGAGCAACTGCTAATCTCCTTCCTGCCTCTCTAGATTTGCCTATCGTGGACATTTCATGAAAACGGAATCATTTACTACATGGTTTTTTGTGACTGGCTTCTTTCCCTCAGCACAATGATTTCAGGTTCATCCCTGTTGTAGCACGCATTGGTATTTCACTCCTTTTTATGGCTGACTAATATTCCACTGGATATATGGTACAGATGCACCACACTGCATTTGCCCATTCATCAGCTGATGGACATTTGGGTTGTTCCTGGCTTTCGGCTATTGTGCACAAAGCTGCTGCAGACATTCGTGCACACGCTTTTGTGTGGATGTGTGCTTTCATTTCTCCTGGGTGCACACCTCGGGGTGGAATTGCTGGCTCGTGTGATGTCTCTTTGTTTAGCCGGTTGAGGCACTGCCAGATCGTTTTCCAAAGCAGCTGCACCATTTGACACGCCCGCCAGCCATGAATGAGGGCTCCCGTTTCTCCATTCCTCACCAACACTTGTTGTTGTCTGCTTTTCGATTACAGCTGTCCTCGTGGGTGTGAAGTGGTGCCTCAATGGGCTTCTGATTAGCAACCTGACTTTTTTTTTTGGACTTAATATGTCTTGGAGGTGTTTCCCTGTCATGGACCCATCGTAACCCTTTCGATACCTCCATAGCACTCTCCTAGAAGACTGCACCCTGTTTAATCACTCCCCTCTTGGTGGACACTTGGATTAGTTCCTGTCTTGGGCTGCAAGGAACACCTCCAGGGCAGGGGAGGAGCCCCGAACAGGTTCAGCCCAGGCCCCTGGGAGGGAAGTTAGAGGACACCTCCCAGCCCTGGCTGGTATCTCCTTGTGCAATGGAAAGGGCTCCCTGCGCAGTTTTGGCCCAGGCTCTGCCCTGGATATGCTGTGTGACCTCAGGGCAAGTTACACAGCTTCTCTGTGCCTCCTGTTCCCCACCTGTAAACTAAGGCTTGGACTAAGTTCCCCAGCACCCTGCTTTGCTATTCCAACCCCTCCTTATTCCGGTAATCACTCTTATGCCCTTGGCAGCTGCATTACAAACATTTTTTCTTGCCTTGCCTATCACAGACCCTCCGCTATAGCTTCATGACTTCATTCACCTCTCTCAGAAATCCTGAGATAGAGGCTCAGCTGGGCTTATGGTCTGACTGGAGGTTCAGAGAGGGTGAGTGACCAGCTCAAGGATTCCCAGCCACCCAGCCACTGTGCCATGCCATCAGCCAGAGCCGGGCTTCCATCCTGACTCTGCAGCCTCTTGGCCAAGTGACCTCGGGCAGGGGGCATTTCTTCCCTCACCTCCAGTGTCCCCTCCGTAAAGACAGGATGGTGACTGTTCTGGGAAGTCTTTTTGCCCTCAGACCTGCTCTCTGCTCTGAGCCCCGGAATCCGACCTCCATGGGGTATGGCCCAGGCCCCTGCACCCTCTGACCTTGGGTTGGCTTGGCCAATAGGAGGCTCCGATGGTGCTCAGAGAGTGGGAGGGGAGAAAGGCTGGGCATTTATTCCCCTGGCTCCCTCCTTGCTGGGTGGGCAGGGGGTGGCTGTGGCTGCATCTCTTTAACCAAGGCCACGGCTCCTGTTCTCCCCACTTTGCCTCTCCAGGCCTAGGGAGGAACAGCTCCCCATAGTTGGCAGGCCCAGGGACTCCTCTTCAGTCTCCCCTTTGCTGGGGCCTGACTGATCTGGCGACCCTTCCCCAAGGGGTTATGAAGAGGATTGACTGAGAAAAGACACTCATTCATCAGTCCCATTTCCCACGTCCAGAATCCAGAGTGTCCTCTCCACCCGACCCCTTCCTCTCCTGGGGGCCTGGAGGAAGGGGTCCCTATTGTTCCTGCCTCTTCCTTTGCCCATGAAAGATCTGGCTACTGGAAAGCTCCAGAACCCAAAGATCACGCCAGCCTTGAATCTTGGCACCAGCCCGATCTTAGCAATTGGAAATAAACTGGACTGAAAGGCTGTGACTTCATTCCAGGGGAAGAAACTGCTCTTGGGCCCAGGCAGGCTCCCACGTGGCGTGTCCCCCACCCGCTGTGTGCTCCCAGGACCTGCCAGTGTGCGCACATAGCCCACTCTTCAATGACACACCCCTCCACACCCACGGAGAGCACACGTGCCACACCCCACAGACTTATGACACACATACCTGGGGGAAGAGCCATCCTCGCCCCCACACAGGTACACACTCTTCTGCTGGCACCTGCCAAGGGCACTGCATGGGCATAGGCTGGGGAGAGGCCCGTCCGGGACTCCTGGAAAACCAAGCTCAGGGAGACCAGCCCAGGCCAATGGGCTGGTGTGAGTGTGTATGTGTGCGGGTATGTGTGTGTATGTGTGTGTGTGTGTGTGTGTGTATGCATGGCATGAGTATGTTGGTCTGATGTGTATGTGTGTGTATGTGAGTGCATGTATGTCTGCTGTGTGTGTATCTGCTGTGTGTGTCAGGTGCAGGTGTGTGTGTCTGAGATGTTTGTGTGTGTAGGAGGTTGCCCTTACACCCTACCTGGCAAGGGGAGAGGGAGGCCGCGGTGCACCGTTAGGCCCAGAACAGCTGTGATGTCGAGGTAACCTCTCTCTCCAGCCCACCCAGGACAGACACCTCCAGTGCTGAGACGAAGGGGAAACCTCACCCAAGAAACTGGGACTACTGTCCTCCACGCTCCTGGCCCTAGAAGAGAAGCAGAGGGAGGAGTGGCCCTGCGCCTAAAACCCCTCGTGCCACCTACCTTAGAGGCGCCCCTCCTCCTGGCTGACAGCCCGCTCACCCTGGCATCCAGGCACTTTTGTGCAGTGCACAACCTGCACAACCATACACAGTGGCCCTGACAGCCGCTTGCTGAGTGGGTATGAGCAAGCCACTTCACCCTGAGCCACAGTCTCCTCATCTCTAAAATGGGGGGAAAATGGTATTGCACAACTTTGTGGAGATGGGGTTAAAAGGTATAGCACCTGTGGAAGCCCGGGCCCACAGCAGGGGCTTGGGCACTCAGGGCTGGCTTTCTCTGGCACCCCTCAGTGCTGTGCAATGCACAAAGGCCAGGGGGAGTATGCTCTGAAGGGGTTAAGTCTTGCAGTCAGAGTGAAGGGGTCAAGGGTGCTGCCCACCGGCCCAGGACAATGGGCCAAGCAGCAGGACCTTCCCAGAGGGGCACCAGCTGTGTGTAAGCCGGGCCTCCCGTTGCCCGTTCCAGTCAGCATGCGGGAGAGGGGAAGGGGCAGAGCCGGCCGACATGTGCCTGGCTCTACTAGCTCTCAGACGCCATCGGTCACCCCACAAAACCATGGGGAGAGGCTCCCTCCCTCCCATGGCACGGACGAGGGAGCTGAGCCAAAGAGGAGGCAGGCATTTGCTGGCCATGCAACTGCCGAGCAGAACTGCCGAGCAGCACTGGGACCCGGTCGGTCGTATTAACTGTGTGTTTCCGATGCTTTGTGATCTGGAGCCTTGTTGTCTAACCCTGGAGGGACTGCCCCCGAGGAGCTAGCCAGCTCCTTGAGCTAGTAAACCGCTCACCTTGAAGAGTGTCTTTCATATGCAAACTAACCAATCCAGAGCCCGCACTCAGAGCCACTGTCCCCCGCCCCACCAGCCCAGGACCCCGTGCCAGGCAAGTAGGGCAGCCGCTCCACCCCAGAGCCCGCTGGAACTACTCAAACTAGCCAGTCCTCAGCCCTCTCACTCTGCCTTGCCCAGTCCTTCCCGTGGAAACCACAATACAGGCTCTGGCCCACGCGTTCCCCTGGCTCCCCTCTGCCTCGTCACCAACCCTGCACCTCCCTGCGTGGCCCTGCGTGGCCCTGCGTGGCGTGGCCCCTCCTCTTAGGAGCTGTGAGGGACAGCCTTTTCAACGGCAGTCATCTCCTGATCTGCTGGCCTCACCAAACCCGGATATTAACAAAACCTATATTTTAAACCTCTGGTCACAGCTGGTCCCCAAGACCTCACGCGTAACCCCCCTCGTGCCCTACCTGAGCCCTTCCCCTGGGACAGAGCCTCTGGGACTCTGCGTCCGTGTGCAGTATGAATGGCTTCCTTCCCTCGTCTCTGTCTGGTGTCCCAGTTCACCGTGGTTTGGACGTCTGTGTCCCCTGAGCCCGTGTGCAGAGCCCAGCCCCGGGCTCATCTGACTGACATCTGTCTCTTCCACAGACCACGAACCCTGTGAGGGTGGAACCCGGCAGGCACTGGAGAAGCATCTGTGCTGTCCCCGAGCCCATCCCCTCTGAGGCAGATGGGGATGGACTCCTGTACCCATTTCACAGGAAGGAAAACAGAGGCCTAGGGAAGGGAGGTGGCCACCCCAGGGCCACACGGCAGGCCAGCGATGGAACAGGGTTTGAATCCAGGCCTGAGCCCTCGAAGTCCGGGATGTTTCCTTGGCGACCGCGCTTCAGGATCTTGTGCTCCAGCCTGCTCGCTGCAGGGGACAGGTCTGCACTCGGCCATTCTAGAAATGCCGAAAGTGAGAGGCCAGCCGTGCCGCAGGGAGGGGGCACAGGACAGCGAGCGGGGCTGGGGCTCTGGGAAACCATGTGCCACAGGCCTTTGAAATGGAGTTGAAAAGAAGACCTGATTTATAAATAGAGAAGAATCTCGACTAAAGCAACAGTTGTCCTGCTTTTTCTTTGGAGCTGCCGGTGATGCCCCCAAACAAGCTGGCGTGGGGGTGCTCTATTTTGGAGGCTCCCTACGCTGCCCCCTTCCCCAGCCAGGGGCCTGGTCCCCTGCTTCTCCTTGGACTCACCCTGAGTGGATAGACGCCCCGGTGGGGCCCAGGACAAGTTCTGCAGTGGCCTCCTTAGGTCCCTCCCTGAGTACGCCGCACCTATGGGTGAGTGGATGGGCGGACGCAGGGACCGGGGACAGGATTTCACAGCGCCCTTCCCAGTGAGATCCTCCCTGGTGGCCCATTAGAACTGCCAGCCTCCCCCATACTGGAGGCCCTGGCCCTGCCCCGCCTCCGCTCTCTTTTCTCCCTAGCACCTTCCACATCCTGACAGGCCTCAGGGACCTTCTCCCTTCCTTACGGCCTTTCTCCCTCATTAGCACAGGGGCTCCCTGAGGGCAGCCATCTTGGTCTATTTCGTTCACCGGCTGGGCCTAGCACAGGCCTGGCCCAAAGTGGGCCGCGATGGTGAACGAGTGAATCTGTCTGCTACTTAGTCTGTCCCCCTGGGCTTCAGATGGTCCTCCCTGCCAAATGTCCACAGCCACCCCATTCGCATGCCATCTGCCTCCCTCTAGAGACAGCTGCTCTCCCACACCCTCGCCCGGAGCAGGAAGCTGGCTGCCACCCTCCTCGCTGCCTCCCGCTTCCTCATCCCACACCCAGGCCAGCGTTTGGCCTCTAGAATCTCCCTCAAGAACCTCCCTCAGACCCACCTCTTCTCTCCATCCTCACTTGCCTCCCTCCAGTCCACCCTCAGCATCCTCTCTGCAGCCAGAGTGTTCTTCCTAAGATGCAAATCTGACTTTGTCAATCCTCTGATCAGAACCTTTCTCGCTGCCCGGGAGGAAGCCCAGGTTCCTTAAGACATTTGCAAAGCCCTCCAGTGTCTGGGCCTGCAGACCCTGTGGTCGTCCTCCACCCTGAGCCAGCCGCTGGACTGCGTCCGTTCCCAGCGCTGCGCCATGTCTCATCTGGCTGCCGAGCCTTTGCCCACACTGTTCTCCTTCCTGGGGTATCTGACGCCTATTTATCCTCCGGTCCAGACCTCTCTGCTCCGGGAAGCCTTCTTCAATCCATGTTAATTTCTGCTCTCAGGAATTAACAGCCTGTTCATTTCCCTTGGTCTAGCTGTAGGAGGGGCAGGGACATCCACATTTCTCAACACCACTTCTTGAAGAGACTACCCTTTCCCCATTTTGTGTTCTTGGCACCATTGTCAAAGAGCAGTTTGCCGTAGATGTGTGGAATGATTTCTGGGATCTCTATTCTGTTCCATTAGTCTACATGCCTGTTTTTATGCCAGTATGATACTCTTTTGACTGCTATATATTTGTAACATATTTTGAAATCAAGAAGTGTGATACTTCCAGCTTTGTTCTTCTTGCTGAAGACTACTTTAGATATTCCAAGTATTTTGTGATTCCATGTGCATTTTAGGATTTTTTTCCTGTTTCTATGAAAATGCCATTAGGATTTTGATAGGGATTGTGCCGAGTCTGTAGATCACTTGGGTGGGATGGACATTTTAACAATATTAATTCTTAATTATCCACGAACATGGGATGTCTTTCTATTTATCTATGTTCTTTAGTTTCCTTCATCAGGGTTTTCTAATTTTCAGCATACAAGTCTTTCAGCTCTTTGGTTAACTTTATTCCTAAGTATTTTATTTTTTGTTGCTATTGTGAATGGGATTTTTTTTTACTTCCTTTTCAGATAGTTTGTTATTTGTATATAGAAATGTGACTGATTTTTGTATGTTGATTTTGCATCCTGCAACTTTACCGAATTTGTTTCTTAGTTCTAACAGGCTTTTGTTGTTGTTGTTGAGTCTTTTAGATTTTCTATATATGTGATCATGCCATCTGCAAACGGAGATAATTTGACCACTTCTTTTCTGATTTGGATGCCTTTTATTTCTTTTTGTTTTATTTTATTTTTTTGTGAGGAAGATTAGCCCTGAGCTAATATCTGTGCCAGTGCCAGTCTTCCTCTATTTTATATGTGGGATGCTGCCGCAGCATGGCTTGATAAGTAGTGTATAGGTCCACACCCGGGATCCAAACCTGCGAACCCCAGGCCACTGAAGCGGAACCCCAGGCCACTGAAGCGGAACCCCAGGCCACTGAAGCAGAGCCCCAGGCCACTGAAGCAGAACCCCAGGCCACTGAAGCGGAACCCCAGGCCACTGAAGCAGAACCCCAGGCCACTGAAGCAGAACCCCAGGCCACTGAAGCAGAACCCCAGGCCACTGAGGCGGAGGGCATGAACTTAACCACTATGCCACCGGGCTGGCCCCTGTTTCTTTTTCTGGTCTAATTGCTCTGCTAGGACTTCCATTACTACATTACCAGAAGCGATGAGAGTGGGCATCCTTGCCTTGTACCAGATCTCAGAGGGAAAGCTCTCCATTTTCCCTCATTGATGATGTTAGTTGTGGGCTTTTAACACATGGCCTCTATTTTGTTGCAGTAAGTTCCTTCTATACCTATGTTGTTGAGAGTGTTTATCATGAACGGATGTTGAACTTTGTCAAATATTTTTTCTGTCTCTATTGAGAGGATCGTGTTTTTGTTTTTCTTTTGGTGAGGAAGATTCGCCCTGAGCTAAAATCTGTTGCCAATTTTCCTCTTTTTGCTTGAAGAAGATTGTTGCTGAGCCAATACCTGTGCCAATCTTCCTCTATTTTTCATGTGGGATGCTGTCCCAGGATGGCTCGATGAGCAGTGTGCAGGTCCACCTGGAATCTGAACCCACAAACCCCAGGCCACTGAAGCGAAGCGCATGAACTTAACCTCCGCGCCACCAGGCTGGCTCTGATCATGTTTTTAAATTTTTCTCTTTCATCCTGTTAGGATGTCTATTATCAAAGGACAAAAAATAACAAGCGTTGGCAAGGATGTGGAGAAAAAGGAAACTTGAGCACTGTTGGTGGGATTGTAAATTGCTGCAGACACTATGGCAAACAGCATGGCGGTTCCTCAAAAAATTAAAAATAGACCTACCTTCTGATGTGGCTATCCCATTTCTGGGTACATATCCAGAGAAAATGAAATCACTATCTCAAAGAGATACTGCATTCCTATGTGCGTGTGTATATATATACATGAATATATGAATATTATTCAGTCTTTAAAAAGAAGGGAATCTTGCCATTTGTGACAACATGGATGAATCTAGAGGATGTAATGCTAAGTGAATAAGCCAGACACAGAAGGACGAATACTGTAGGATCTCACGTACATGTGGAATCTAAAATAGTCAAACTCATAAAAGCAGAGAGTAGAGTGGTGGTTGCCAGGGGCTGGGGGTGGGGGAAGTGGGTGGTGCTGGTCGAGGGCGCAGAGTGTCAGGTAAGCCAGATGGGTGAGTTCTGGAGCTCTAATGTGCGGCGCGGGGACCCCAGTTAGCAGTATGGTATGTGAGACATTTGCTGAGAGGGTAGATCTTCAGTGATCTCGCCACACACACAAATGACGGCTCTGTGAGGGGCTGGATATGTCAATTAGCTTCATCAGGGTGATTAGTTCACAATGTATATGTATGTCAAAACATCAAGTTGTACACCTTAAATATACACAATTTTTATTTGTCGATTATACCACAATAAAGATGGAAAAAAAACTTCAAAAGGACCACACCCTGGGAATAGCCATCACACTTCCAGGATATGCACGCGAAACAATCGTGTATACAGCCGGTGCTCATGCGAGTGCTCATGCTCTGTGACGTGGCTGCAAACACTGCCCTAGCGATTCCCAACCATTGCCCCCAGTGGAAACACGGGGCCCTGCGTGCCGCTGGTGGCATTGTAGTCGACCTGTCAGTACGTGACTTTGTTTCATCTGTGTTTCTGTTTAAAGACACCTTATTTAATACGTATCGTTAATTCACGAACACTGAACTCCCAGCCGACAGCACCACAGCTCCTGCCTGCCGAAGCTTATCCAACACGTGTGTTTTCCCCACGAGGCCCGTGCCAGCCTGCTGGGGCTTAGACAGACTAGACAGCACTTCAGCCCTCTGCTGGGGCCATTTCAAACAGCAAAATCACCAACAAAAAGGGCAAAGATGCAAAAACCTTGGCACTAAATACACTGCAAAAAGGACACTTGTTTCTAGCATAAGAGCTGAAATGAGGAGGCAGAGGGAGCCCCATTTCGCCTCAGCCGGGCACGTGCGTGTCGGGCGACGCAGATTTTTGCCACTCTGCAAAAGCGTCCGTGAACGACCTCGGCAGTGTCATGATTATTGATCCTGAGGTTGCAAACAAATCTTAGCAAGAAGGTGAATTCAAAACACGCACTCTGAGAATGAGGATCAACTCTATGTCAAAAAGACGTTGATGGCAACATTCTAATAACAAAACCACCAGATACGGCACAAACGCTGATTATTAGGGATTGGTCAGGCCCAGGTTTCTCAGCCTCAGCACTGTAGACATTTGGGGCCACATAATCCTTTGTTTCTGGGGAGGGGGCCTGTCTTGTGCATTGTAGGATGTTTAGCAACATCCCTGACCTCCACGCAGTAGTTTCCAGGAGCATTTCACCTCCTCCAGGTTGTGACACCAAAGATGTCCCCAGACACTGCCAGATGAGAACCACTGGGTTAGATACACTGAGGCAGCCACACAGTGGACCGCTGCGTGGCCTTTAAAAGGATGATGCATAAAGCGACTTGGGAAGATTCTCATGACATTTTTGAGTAGAAACAAAAAGGCAGGTGGCAAAACTGGATGGTATACTCAAACCCCATTTTTACCTCTGTGTGTGTTTGTATGCATACACAGAGGAAAAGAGAGAGAAAGAGGAAAGAGAGGAGGAGAGATAGAAGGGGAAATCTTCCTGCCTCCCTGCTGGACAGGCATGTCTGAACCTCTGCTCTGGCAGCGTCTGAAGCCTGAGTTTCAGGGTTGACTGGAGACAGAC